TCTGGTTCATTGGCCATTACCAGCCAGTCATACCCAATCTCAGGTGGTGCTCCACCCGAGGTTCGATCCCGCGACCTGTTGATCAAAAGTCTATTGATCTAACCAAGGGGCCACGGGTTGTTCGTGTGAGTGTACAGTTACAGTCGAGAAAGCTCGTTCAAAAACCGAGATCCTGACGTGACCGAAAAAACGCCTTTTGAGACTTCAGGTATTATTCCATAAGGAAGCACATCTACTAGATATTCTTCTATGTGGCGAAAATCACTTGGGCAAAATTCTATTCACCTTCGTGTCCTCGATAACAGAATAAGTGCAATTCGCAAAACTGGAAGACGCCTCGACCGCAATTCATCAACACTTTCTAGAACCTGTGTTCAGGTTTGTCAGCTTAATAGGGACAGCATCATCTACACGACTTTTGCGATTTTAAATATCAACCAGCTAATTCAGTAGACCGTGATGATATTTTCCACTTCTAGGTTTATCCCATGATAGCATACAATTAAAATAGAACAATTATAACCGGACACAAAGTATGTTCTGTACAAAACCGGGTCTTTGGGTTTTTAAAGCAAAGTCAGACTTCTAAAAAGCTGGACATATTTTTATAAGTAGTCGAGAATGTTGTGAAAAGAACATTTGTAGATATTTCAAATACTCCCCTCACTGTATCTTGGTTTTTAAAATAATTTTTCGATGTAACCATATCCGATCGTTTTTTGGAGAAATTTTCTAACACAAGACAGGTGATTCTTAAGACGTCAGTCCCTCTTACGCCACTCCTAATTATATCAAAAGGTTGCGAAAATCGGATGAACTGGATCTTCTTCGCCGCCGAAAAGACTTGGAGGTAGCTGAAGCTCGCATTTTGGGTAAGTCAACGGTCCCTGTATTCTTCGCTGAGTGTTTCATATAAGTGGCGTCAACTTACAACTGCTACTGTAAAAAAGGGAGGACTCAATTTGGTGACTCACCGACTGGATTCTAAAAACCGTGCTCTCCTATATCTTTTGAATATATTTTTACTCTTAGTCTTTTTTGACCTCCTCTTCTTCTCCTATCTCCATATAATCATCGTCATCATCATCGCTATCACCACTTTAACCATTATCGTTATTATGATGATTGGCGGCTCTTCCGGTTATGGGATAGTGCCAGGGTCCCACCGACCATATTTGCTTTTGCATAGACGGTTTTGTTAAAGAATTATTACTGTTAGCTATGCGGCTGCTCGTCTACCCGCCCAAAAGAAGTAGTAGTACCACGAACGATCATCTTTTTTGATTTTTTAACAGTGGAAAAGGACGCTCTGAATGCACAAAAGAAGGTTGTTCTAGCTGCACAAGACGAGGCCTCTCGCAAGTCGGAGCTCTTTTCGGAAATGGAGGCAAGTCTGTGGGTTACCTTCTCAACTGTGGACAGCTGGGGGAATTCAAAGATGCATTTGTTGTATTTCCAGTTCCAAATCTTCCTTTTATATTTACCAATCTTTTCGCGTTTCAGATTGCAGATTACAAATCGCTGAAACTGAAAGCAACAGCTGCGGCGAACGAGGTTAATCTCCTTCAAGGGTAGGACCGTCCGATCAACTTACTATTCAGTATTACCCAAAATTTTGCGGGGGTTACGTTCCTAGACGCCACAAACAGACCGTGACAAACCCCCTCACACGCCAGTGGTCTAGCTGTAATGGCGCCCAAACTGTCTAGTGTAACGCTCTTACTTTTTAACTTCCTTTTATTTTGTCTGAGGACGAAATGATGTTACCAGCTCGAAAATACACAGGTGCAACTTGACCTTTCTGAAGGACTCCCTTTTCATATATATACCTATACATATGTTTATTAATATGTGGGGCTCACCGATCTGGTTAGGAATTATGTAAGTTCCATGTTTGCCCTGGAGCTTACTTAAGAGCCCTCGCAGACAGTCACGTAGCGACTAGTGGGATAGGATCAAGTGGAACCGACAAAGACTAGGGAGACTGGAATGGCCATTTCTAGGTTATTAGCATAGAGTGACCAAAGGTCCGTGTTTGAATCCCGAATGATTTACACAGGGGATTGGGTATAGGTGGTTGATGACGACTAATAAGCCAGAAATGACTATTCTCGTTTCCCTTGTCTTTGTCTGTTCTACTTCATCCTATCCTAATTGTTTATGTGTGGCTGTCTGCGCAGGCTCTAAAGCGAGCTTCAGGGCAAACATCAAACACACATATACAGATGTATAAATTTCAAGCAGATATGTACCGTACATACTGTCGTAGTTTTAGCAGAATCATTTAGGTAAATTCTTCATCCTGTCATGATCTTCTCCTTTATTATTTCCCTCCTATTTACATGTTTTTTTCTTTTTTAGTTCTTTTTCTTGTTCCCAAGGCAACCTGCGAATATAATGCTACTGTTTGTATTCTGCAAACCCTAGTTTATTTTCTTTGTCCTTTTTGTTATTGCCTTTTAGTCGACTTGCTCAGGCCTTTGAGGAAATTGAAAGACTAAAAGAAGGCAAGCATTGAGAATTGTCTACCTGCATTTTTTGTCTGGCTTCCATGGCGGAAGCTAATTATCTACTAAGTTAAGCAGCGAAAAATAAATTTATAATTTCACTGATTCATTAGGAGATTTGGTTGTCAACTTACAACAGAATAAATGTTTTTACAATAATCCGAAAGATGCAATCAACTGCATTCTCACAGATACTTTCAGAAGTATAACTCCAGTCTGTCTCTCGATAATGGTTAAAGTTCACTGAAGTTTTATGGGGTGTTTGTTTAAAATAAATAATTTATAGTTGGATGGAGAGTTTTGTTTATTCCTCTCTGAGCCACGGGATCACATAACTGAATGGGCCCAGTACCAAAACTGGAAAGAAGTAAACGGGTGGACGCGTGTTTTGCAGTTTGTGTTTTATTAGCCGTCATCAGTCAGCCATATCCAATTTCAGGTTAGCACCATCTGAGGCCCGAACCTGCGCTTTTTTTGTTTATTAGTCCAATTTTCAAACCATTCACAATGGACCAGATGTTCTGTTAGTGGCGATCCGGCATATCAGCTACGATAGACGGACGCTCACAGATCGTTTTACGGGACCTACTTGTCCTGCTGAGCTTTGGCGCCCATTCTAGAAATTCTCGAATTATTAACCAACAAGAGCACGCGTTCGAGTCCCAGTTTCTGCAAACCTGAGCCTGAGTATGGCTGGCTGATGTTGGCTAATAAGCCAGAAATGGCTATTTTGGTCCTTATTCACCTGGTCAGCAGTTGATATCACCAACTTGAAAGTAAATGGTTAAACTTTTTTCCCGAAGAACTCTTTGTTGTGGGCTCTGAATTCATACTATCTCTGTTCTGCAACGTATACATGATATATAGGACACATTTTAAATTAATAAGACGTGCCTATTATGCAATTTTTATAAAAAATGAGTCTACAGGGCAGCGTTTTGTTACGAATTATGCAATATGTAATTGCTTCTACTAAACCCATTTATTTCTTATTATCAGTATTTTTATATCTTCATGTGTGCCTGAGTCTCTAGTCTGCATGTTTTGCAAACAGGTTCCGCTAACGCGGCATCTGAACGAAACGTACTTATGGCTTCGCGACAAGAGACAGAACGACTTCGATCGTGTCTGGATCGGGAACGGTCAAATAACAACAATGAGCGAATGAAGCTGCAATTAGACATCGATCAGTTGGTACGATAGTCTTCTTTGCATCCTTTGCCATCCCACGAATGTCTTTGGGGATATAATTCTATATTTATGTCTTAATTGTATTCCGAAGAAGTGCTCAGTCATGGTCATCACATTGAAGTAATACACTTAATTGCAAAAAAATTGAGCTTAGCATATAGGTAAGGATGAAGTGTCTAAGCCATGGGTGTGTACTCACAGCGCTCCGATCATCAGGCCAATCTCCGAGTAATCTGTATCTGCATACTTAATAAAAGTATTGCCTGCCTCTGTGTAGACCTCCATTACCATTGGTGGATAGCATCTGTTTTTAAGTCGATCACGGAGTGTGG